TTCATTAAAATTAGTAAAATTTTTAAAAAAGAAAATAAATAACTAATCATTCAATTAAAAAAGCTTGAGAGGAAAATTTTTTAACTTACATTTGCTTTCTTGAAAGGGAGATGAAGCACAAATTGGGAGGAAAGTATGCAGAAGCTTAAATGTTCACATTAAGAAGGAAAGTCAGGCTTACTTGGCTAATAGAGTCTGAGGGAACCCCCAAAACTGCAGACTTTTGTCACCCTGGTAAACTGAAACAAAAATCACCTCTGTGGTTCAACTTACAGCCAAACAACTAACAGGCCAACATAATAAACAACATCACCAAGGAGGCACTCAGAATAATCAACAATGAGATTAAATAAGATCAAAAGGACAGGATTCACTCAGAGATAAAGCTCAGAAGCAGGAAATGGTAGGATTGTATTAGTGGAAACAGGAATCACAAGGTGGAAATGAGAAGAGTGTGGTCATATTGTGATTATTCTAATGAATGTCATAAATAGGACTTGTAAATGGTGAACGAAAAAGCAATTGATCTTTAACTTTTACCCAAATTTTGATTAAATATGTAATAAAACTTCTAATTATCTTCCTTAAAAAGAATATAAAAAGAAGAAAAGCTGCAATTTAATGAGTTAAACGGCAAACTGATGAAAGTTATAATAAGTATATGAGATAGAAATGAAATTAAATGAAACTAGAACAAATCCTAAAGTTAATGCTTTAATAAAATGACAGAATTAAAAATATTTTATTAAATAGATAATAGTAATAGCCAATTTATCTGTCCGTGCTCTAACTTGAATATTGAGCAACTCTGGTGGTATAATTTTCAAGGTTTTAGGCTCCTAACTGAAAGACTTATGGTTCAAAACCTTCAGTACTTTCTTAAGAGAAAGGCTTGTCAATGGTCTTCCACCAAGATGGTATCCTTGGGAATCCCAGAGGGCAGTTCTTCTCTATTATACGGAGTCACTATGAGGATGAATTAACTCCATGGCAACAGCATTTGGATTGCTGTGATACCACATATCACAACTATCTGGTAAGAAACTTTGAAGATACTCAGTTTGTACCTTCCAGCCTCTCAACATTTGAAAACCTAATTGAGGGTCACAATAGGTCAGTTCTGGCCCAATGGTACACAACAACAACAAAAGCTTCATAATGGCTTGAAGTGTAATCTTCAAAGATAAACTTCATTACTGTGCAATACAACTTGTTACCCAGTGGACCACAAAGTGTGTTTTTCTTTTTTTACGTTATCCAGCATCTCTGTTCTTCCAGGAAAAAAACCCCCAAAACCTATTTGCCAAGTTCCTAGAAAAACCTTTAGGATATTAGTGAAATTGCCTTGTAACTATGTTGTTGTTAAGTGCCATTGAGTCATAGACAACTCATAGCGACCCTGAACACTTGTATAACTTCCATCATTTCTCAAAGTTCATAGAATTTCCAGAGGCAAGCTATTTTGGAAGTGGATGCCACTCCTGCTTCCAAACTTGTTTTAATAGGGGAGCTCCACCAAACATGGGTAGCCATCCTGATAAATTTTTTTTAATATTGGGGCTTTTCTACCTATGACTATACATTTTCCTCTGTTATTTAGGCCCCACTGAATATTTTTTTAAAAAGCATGTAATATTCTCTGTAGAAATTTAAATAGTAGCACTACTGAGAGACAGACAGTACACATCCCTGATGCCACCCTTTCCTGATTTTGAACAATGTTTTCCTACTCTGTTCTAAGGACTGCTTCCTGGTTCAAGTGTAGGTTTCACATAAGCACAATCAAGTGTTCTGGTATTCTCTTTCTTCTCAAGGTTAATTGCAATTGATTATAATCAACACAGTCAAACACCTTTGCATAGTCAAACACAATAGATATCCCTCTGGGACTCTTTGTTTTCTGCCAAGATCCATCTGACATTGGTGATAATGTCTCTAGTGCCACAGCTTCTTTTAGGTCTAGCTTCTATTTCTGGTAGTTCTGTGTCAATGTACTGTTCCGTTGCTTATGGATAATTGTCGGAAGGATTTTGCTTGTGAGTGATATTGTTAGATAATTTCCACACTCTGTTGAGTCACCTTTTCTTGGGATAAATATGGATCTCTTCCAGGCAGTTAGCCAGGTAGTTGTTCTCCAGATTTCTTAGCACAATGTGGTGTGCAAGTCCGGAGCAGCATCTGTTGAAATATGTCAATGGGTATTCCATCAATTTCTGGGGATTTATTTTTTGCCAAGCCCTTGAGAGCCACCAGAACTTCCTCCTTCATCACCATTGACTTTTGTAAAGAGGAATGTGGCATCATGATTGGAGGAAGACTCATCAACAATATATATTATGCAGATGACACAATGTTACTTGCTGAAACTGAGTACGGCATGAAGTTTTCACAGAAGGTCAAGGAATGCAGTCTTCAATATTGATTGAAGCTCAACATTCAGAAGACAAAGATTCTGACCCTGGGTAGTACCATGATATATGGAGAAGAGAATGAGGTTGTTAACAGTTACAGCTTGCTTGGCACAAGCAGTCAGGAAATAAAAAGACAAATTGCATTAAGTAATTCTACTATCAGGGCCTCTCCAGATGTACTGAGAAACAATAATATCAGTCTAGAGACTTAAGATGTGCCTGATTCAGTCCATGGTCATCTCAATCATTTGCTATGCATCAGAAAGCTGGACAATGGGTAAGAATTACAGACGAAGAATTGGTTGATGTCTTTGAGTTGTGGTTTTGGAGAAGAGCCTTGAACATACCATGTACCATCAAGAAAACAAATAGGTCTGTCTTGGAGAGGGTAGAACAAAATTTCTCCTTGGAGGCTAAGATTTTGAACCTCTGTCTCACATACTTCTGGCATGCAGCCAGAAGGGACTGATCCTTGGAAAAGGACATGGTTCTGGGAAGCGTTGAGGGACAAGGCAGGAGAGGAAGACCCCAGATGAGATGGATTGATACACCTACTAGGGCAATGAGAGTAGGTGTGTCAGAGCCAGTGAGATTGGCTCAGGACAGGGCAGGATTCATAACTTTTGTACATATGGCTGCTTTAAGTCACAGGTGACTAGATGGCACATAACAACAACAAGAACAGTAGCACTAGATCATTAGACACACAAATATCATGAAACATTTACCATCTTCAATAAATATATGATGAAATTTTTGCAACAGTATTTCTTTCAACAATTTGGAAATTTTTATATACTAATCACCTTTAAATACAAAGACAGTATCGCTGGTATAAGCTTCATATGTGGCATCCAACTTTGATGGAAGAGAGGGCCAATGCGAGGAAATAGAATAAAACATAGGTTCAGGGAATCTGGGGTCTGTTCGCCAAAAATATCTGTAATACATAAAAATGAATGAAGATGTCATTCTCCATTAGACATTTAAAAGGATGGGGAGATGAGCCTATTTTTCTGCTTATCACTTTTCTATAGATGGTGTTGTGTTCTAGGACTCTTGGATCTCTAGCAGGAACTGGGTTGTTTTTTTTTTTTTTTATGCAAGAACACAAGGGTTTTATTACAAGCTCTCAAGCAGGGACTCTTCACACACCCCAACGCAGCAGCAGCGTGGCAGAGCCAGGAACTGTTTTAACAATGTAATTATTTAACTTGGTTCATGACCTAAAGCCTGTACTAATATTTATATGATACAATCACTCATACATTACAAAAATTTAAAAAGAGCATTAAAAAAAGTTTTTACATTTGTATGTGAATTAAACATCATTGGAAAATACAAAGGAAATTAGTAGCTGTGATTGCTTATTTAATATATGGTTAAAATATATCCAAGATGGAAAGAGACTTGCTTTTAACTTTATTTTTTGCTTCTACTTTTTCCTAAGCATGTATCCATACTGAACTTATTTATATAGTTACATTTAGTAGCTATGGTGGAGATCATGGTATATTTATGAGCTATCAATGCTTTTTCTAAGGAATATATAAACAATGATGCACAAAATGACAATTATTAGTTAATTCAAATAATCTATTGCATGTATTAGGTCTATTCCAGTTTATAAAATATGTAAGTGAACCAAACAGATGAAAATTTCCCATTTTTATGGACTTGATATTGTGTTGATCAAAACTCATATTTGGTAAGTTAGTTAAAAAATTATCTAAACAATGTGAGAATGCTAAAAATGCAAAGAGAGCTAGATCTGAATGATGTAAAAGCTTAGAGGAAATATTTTTGTTGTTGTTTTCACTACCTAAGCATTTTGACAGTCAAAAACA